CAGAACCAATCTTTTCCTCACTCTGTGATATAACAACATCCTCTGGTTTTTTTTTAAATAGAGGACAGAAGTATTTTCAGCGAACGCCTTCCCTTTTTGCCTCCTCTGCCCACACGACCAGCAAACACTATTACCGAGATCCCCGTTGCTCGCCGCAGAGACAAACTCCCGTCTGTTATTCCAGACGCTGCTGGGTGCCAATGTCCTTTTCCTCCCTTTGTAATTTTTGCAAAGCCTCATTTATAATTTATGGTCATTTCTATCCACTTCCCCTTTTCCCTCTGTGAGTTAATTTTTTAAAAAGCGTCTACTCATGCCTGTGACTTTCTGGGCACACAGATACACGGCCGTAATTCCCAATTGCGCACATCTTCACCCCCATGAAACTGCCTTCTCCAAAGCCACGGGCAGACACTTTACTGGTTTGGACGTTGATTTGCTTCTCCCAGTCACTGCAATTTTTAAAAGGCAAAAACAATTTAAAAGAAAGGTTTTTCCCCCTGGTGCAGTCCATCCTGCAGAGCAGGGATGCGCTGGTCTCTGCCCGGGTGGGTACCACGGCATCGCCCATGGCTGCGGCACCGCTCCAGGCTGTGCTCCCGGGCACGGATCCCTGCAGACCTCCAGAACGGCGAGGCACGAATCTTCTGTCTCGGGAATCACCGCTTCTGCTGTGTGATTTGAACTCTGCCACTTCCCATATTGATTCTGACTGCAGTCAAAGCATCTCCTGTCCTACGCGCCACCGTGTACCCTGCGGAGAGGGAAATCACTCCCTTCACAGCCGCTGCCAGAGCCGCATGGCAGCAGCCGCAGGGCTCAGCTCCCCACAGACCTGCCCCACGGTGCCCCCAGGACGCTGCTCCCCCCAGAATTCACTGAAAATCCTCTTTAGCTTCACACCCTGTGGGTGGATCTCACCCCTAAACCAATGCAACCACAGGTTTATTTCTCCACTGGTGTTTAGGGGTTTTTTCACAACAGCGCACATTGCCATGAATGTGCCAAGGGAAAGGGGACGCGGGGGACAGAGTGAGCAAGGTGGGAGCCTCCAAAACGCACTCGGCACAGCAAGCGGAGCCCTCACTGTTTGCCCATGGCCAACTGATGTGGAGCCGCTGCAGCGCAGGCTCCTGTGCTCGGCCACCACTGCCAGGAAGCGATGCTGGAGGCACCAGTGCAGCACTGGTACCCAATGGGGAGTTAACACGAACATGGCTTCTGCTCTGCACCCCTCACCCAGCACCGCAGCATCGCTGCTCCCATGCCATCCCCACACCTGAACCACATTGCTGCTACATCCCATCCCATCCCACCTCATCCCATCCCATCCCATCCCTATGTCTGAACCACATTGCTGTTACAGCACCAGTGCCAGCCACCGCTCAGCCCCGGTGCGGGGTCAGGCTCTGTCACAACAGGTGGCGACAACTGAAGACTCCACTTTCAAACACCTGGAACCCAAGTCCAAACATGGGCTGTGCGTTTAAGATGCTAAAGAAAAGGAAGAGCGAGCACCTGAGGCAAAGAGGGGCAGCAAGGGGCTGCCAAGGGAGCAAGCGGGAGCTCCTGGGATGGGGCAAAGAGGG